GCAAGTGCACATTGACAATAAAAGTTCAAATTCTAAGTTTAATTTCATGTCTTTGAACGTTTGGAGTAAGCCTGGAGAGAACATGCAAACTCCACATAGAAAGACCGAAGCCTGATGCTGGAATCAAACTCAGGACCTTCGTACTGTGAGGCAACACTTCTAACCACTGTGCTTTTTTAAAATGTTAAAACCTGATTTTAAAACCTGTATCTGTATTTTAAATTTCAGAAAGTTCACATCTCGCTGGAACCCTGAACAGCTTAAAACCTTTGAGGCAGTGTTGCAGCCACTGGCTCTGAATTTGAATCCAGGCTAATTTTGTGGGCAGCACAGACACGCCTCCCCGGCTGAACAGGTCTGACGTACTCTGCACCTTTTTAAAAAGAACAAAGAACCACGAAGCTGCTTTCTCTCACAGAAAACTTCATTGCTGAGCAGATTTCTTATGTTAAGTAAGTGTTCTACAAAGCCACGACAGTGAACCAGCATTAAAGTGAATTCAGCCATCAGTATAACAGAGCGCAGGCTCAGCTGAGGAACAAACGCTGCTCATTCATATCTGCAGGTGGAAATATGCAAATGCATGAAGCTGCTGTCTGAATTGCAGAAGTACAGCCGCTCCAGCTGAGCGTTGGAGTTAAAGTTTACAGTATTCATATTTCTGAGGAAGGATAGTGAAAGAGTTCCAGAGCAATAAAAACGGTGCTGTTTAGTAGCAGCTATATGAATGACGTTTGTCCAAGGTGTGTGTGTTGGTCTTACCTGGTTCCACTGAGCGCGTGCGAGGATTACACTGTTTGTGTCCCTTGCACCCTCTGAGCTCCATCAGCTGCACGTGGAGCTGGTTGAGAACCGTCCGATCTAAAGAGCTGACAGCATTTATCAGCTGGAAACAGAAAAGAGGAACAAAGAGAGAGACGGTAGTTTGTGTGGTTTGTGTTCAGGTAAATTAGATGATGTGTATCAGCCCAACAGCTGTGGGGCCTCAGGAACTCCACATTTCTGCTGTCGTGCGAGTTTCTTGGACGTGTGCATTGTGAGTGTGACTGTCGGGCTGAATGTGTTTCATTTATAAATGAAAGAAATATGTAGAAACATCGTGTCTCAGGGAAACACTGAAGAACTAGTTTACAGATTTTTACTTCTGGGCTGGACGACTGTAATTC